TGTAAGCACACTTTGAGCAATGACATCGTAAGTCTGTGCTAAAGTATGGGAGTTACAAACAGGGCCACATTCTACTGTAAGCACACTTTGAGTAATGACATCGTAAGTCTGTGCTAAAGTATGGGAGTTACAAACAGGGCCACAATCTACTGTAAGCACACTTTGAGCAATGGCATCGTAAGTCTGGGCTAAAGTATGGGAGTTACAAACAGGGCCACATTCTACTGTAAGCACACTTTGAGCAATGACATTGTAAGTCTGTGCTAAAGTATTTGAGTTACAAACAGGGCCGAAATCTACTGTAAGCACACTTTGAGGAATGGCATCGTAAGTCTGTGCTAAAGTATTTGAGTTACAAACAGGGCCACAATCTACTGTAAGCACACTTTGAGCAATGACATCGTAAGTCTGTGCTAAAGTATGGGAGTTACAAACAGGGCCACAATCTACTGTAAGCACACTTTGAGCAATGACATCGTAAGTCTGTGCTAAAGTATGGGAGTTACAAACAGGGCCACAATCTACTGTAAGCACACTTTGAGCAATGGCATCATGAGTCGGTGCTAAAGTATTTGAGTTACAAACAGGGCCATATTCTACTGTAAGCACACTTTGAGCAATGGCATCGTAAGTCTGTGCTAAAGTATTTGAGTTACAAACAGGGCCACAATCTACAGTAAGCACACTTTGAGCAATGACATCGTAAGTCTGTGCTAAAGTATGGGAGTTACAAACAGGGCCACAATCTACTGTAAGCACACTTTGAGCAATGGCATCATGAGTCGGTGCTAAAGTATTTGAGTTACAAACAGGGCCACATTCTACTATAAGCACACTTTGAGCAATGACATCGTAAGTCTGTGCTAAAGTATGGGAGTTACAAACAGGGCCACAATCTACTGTAAGCACACTTTGAGCAATGACATCGTAAGTCTGTGCTAAAGTATGGGAGTTACAAACAGGGCCACATTCTACTATAAGCACACTTTGAGCAATGACATCGTAAGTCTGTGCTAAAGTATGGGAGTTACAAACAGGGCCACAATCTACTGTAAGCACACTTTGAGCAATGACATCGTAAGTCTGTGCTAAAGTATGGGAGTTACAAACACGGCCACACTTTGAGCAATGGCATCGTAAGTCAGGGCCTCATTATACAAAGCAATCTCAGTGCTAAGACTATCATACGTATGTGTCAGAGTTACGAAAGGGCCTTGTTCAACAAGGAAATATTAGCATTTGGACTATCACAGATCTGTGCTTATGTAGAACAGTTAAGAAGTCATAGTGCTGAAGACCATTCTTAGGAATAAGCAGTTGTTGTACGTAATGATCTTAACACTGCAGCCTTCTTAAGTTTAGTGTGTATGATTACGATGCTCTAGAACCTATATGGCTTTGTGGAATGTGGCCCAGCTAGTCCCAGACAACATGAGATACATTATCTGTCAGGTAGTTTATGAGTTTCAAGCATAAACATTTCCAGGCAACCGTCCTTTGTGATTATTTATCACTTTAATATTGATGTTCAATTTTGAGTTTTGTATGATAAGATACAAAGGCAGAACCACGAGGCAACGTATGAATGCCTCTCAAATAAAGTTAATGCCTTCTTACGTATTCCCTGTTAAATGTAAATTTATTACGTGGGGCACCTGCATGAGGCCTTTGAGCTGCATCGTGCACTCTAGGGTGTGTTGTGTGTGAGTAAGTGGGTTTGGTTTTATTCCGCTTTTAGCAATATTGAGTAATATCATGATAGGGGATTCCAGAAGTGGGCTTCACACATTGTACCAATGTTGGGAACTGAACCAGGGCCTTTGGCGTGACAAGTGACCACTTTAACCACAAGGCTACCTGTCCACCAACTCAAAACAGAAATGTTACTGATCATGCAGACTGGGAAGCATGCGTATGTTCTGCATTAATTTATTTCTAAGACCATGATGACTTTTGTCTGCAGGGCCCCTTTCCACGAGGCTATGGTAGCGTTACGACTGTCGTAAGTCCATGTTAAAGTATGAGAGTTATGATCACCTTAGCGCTACGGCTGTCATAAGTCGATGTTAAAGTATGAGAGTTACAATCAACTTAGCTCTACGATTGTCGTAAGTCTATGTTAAAGTATGAGAGTTATGATCACCTTAGCTCTACGATTGTCGTAAGTCTATGTTAAAGTATGAGAGTTATGATCACCTTAGCTCTACGATTGTCGTAAGTCTATGTTAAAGTATGAGAGTTATGATCACCTTAGCTCTACGATTGTCGTAAGTCTATGTTAAAGTATGAGAGTTATGATCACCTTAGCTCTACGATTGTCGTAAGTCTATGTTAAAGTATGAGAGTTACGATCACCTTTGCGCTACAACTTTGTAAGTCTATGTTAAAGTATGAGAGTTACGATCACCTTTGCACACCGATCACTGTCGAACGAGACCAGGCAGACAGCCATTTTGAACACTGGTCTGGATTGGTAAACCTCATAAAGGATGCTCCAGTTTTCCAAAGATACAGACTGCCTTTCTTGGTCAAAAGATCTGTCTGGAGAGCAAAAGGTTAGTGGTTTGATGCTTTTCTGCATCATACCATAAGACATTAAAAGATGGCACTTGTTGTTACCCTGCCTGGTAATCAGTATTAAAATTTTGGTTTGGTTTGTTGCTTAACGTCGCACTCAGCAATATTCCAACTATATGACTGCGATCTGTAAATAATTGATCCTGGACCAGACAATCATGAGCATTGATCCTTGCAATTGGGATCGATGACATGCATCAACCAAGTCAGCGAGCCTGACCACCTGATCCCATTAGTCGCCTTTTATGGCAAGCATGGGTTGCTGAAGACCTATTCTACCCACAGATCTTCACGGGTCCCTCAGTATTAAAAACAAGAACTGGTCATTTTGGAGTCAGTATACTTTGTGTGAATGGGTTATCAATGTTAAACTGTGGCATGGTATAACAATGGACTAGCACTATAAAACCGGCATTAGTCCGGACTAGTAGAAGCAGCCACACACATGCACATCGGCCTGCACGTCACTATATAAGTGCATTAATCATGAAGGCAATGTTAAACCCGATTTCACCTCACATCACCTCTAACGATAGACAGGCTTCTTCTGATTTGTATTTGGCCCATGCTCTTGGGGTTCAAGGTAAGGAGTGAAACACGAGACTACGATGCTGCTACTTGCTGTGAAGGGTTGTGTTCTGCATTGTGTCAGCTAATTGTTTATTCAAACGTCAGAAGTCAAAGGACCCTTGGTCCACAGGCATCCACAGCATGCTGTGAGGGGAACACTGAACCACAGAGCACTCACTCTATACCTCACTAACCCTGGAATATAGACAGCGAGTAATTCATTTTTGATTAGGATTATAAAGACTGTTATGAATCTGGATGTATGGCTATCTTTGACATACCAATATAAATCAACCATGACAACCATTATCATTAAGTGTATCTACAGCTGATTCAAGTTTTCAATAACACACAGATGATTCTGTAATGAACACCCCCTATCGGAAACCCATTCCATCAACAACAATATGTATATAATGGCCGGATTAACCTGCCCTGCATGTGGCTGTGCGTATTACCTGTTGTGGAATACAGTTTTATACCACAGGGCAGGTACTGACACTATGATTGATCACTGCCACCAGCAGTGTACAACATTGTCACAAGCAACCTCTTTCACTTTGCTCTGTAATTACTTGTGTGTACAGCTTCAAATGGCTGCTACACCGGTCAAATACCGGGTATCACAATACAGGGGGTTTGTAGAGGGCTATCTGGCCATGTTCAGAGGAGGTGTTATGTCATATGCTTGTTTACACGCCGTGTATATATCCCAGCTGTCAGAGTGTCAAGTACGCAGGCTGCAGGAACAAAGGCGGAAACCTCCTTGATAATGTAGAGGGAATTAAATGCAGACTATAGTAGCAATCTAGTATTTATTTTACCTGATGGGTTCATATAATTAACATGACCTGCTTGAAAAGTTTGTTTGAAGTTTAGTCAAGTGTTTATGGATTATCTCAATTACTGAACTTACAGGGTGCCAGTGAGTAGAAAACTGTGGGGAACATGATCCCAGGGGTCGTAATACTGACACTTGAGGAACGGATTAATTCACAAGACCTTCCAAATAGACAGGGGACTTAAAACAGTGAGTGAGTGAGTTTGGTTTTACGCCGCTTTTAGCAATATTCCAGCAATATCACGGCGGGGGACACCAGAAATGGGCTTCACACATTGTACCCATGTCGGGAATCGAACCCGGGTCTTCGGCATGACGAGCGAACGCTTTAACCACTAGGCTACCCAACCACCCCGACTTAAAACAGACCAACCACTATATTATCATATTTTCTTGAGTATAGTGCAATTTTTTTCCCAAAAAAACACAGATGGGTAGAAGGGGGTGCCCATTATACAAGCCGTAATGAGTTTGGATGTTTTTTCCCAAAACGCAAAGACATTACCGTGAACACGTAACACCTGAAATACCATGTCAACAAATCCATACTGAAATCGTATGGCGAGATCTTGTGTGAAGCGATCGGAAGATTTTCTTGGTTCGAATCCAAAGTGGTAAACGTCTGAGACCTGCATCACTCTGGGCTTTCCTCCCACATTAAGCTGACACGCCGTGATATAACGGGAATAATGTTAAAAGCGGCGTTAAAACCCAACTCACTTACTCTTATGTCGCAAACTATGTAAAGGATGTCATTCCTTATATGGAGACATGAAAAGTGAGTGAGTGAGGTTTTACTCATGAAAAGTGTTTGAATATTATTAATATATTTATCAAATCTTTGAAGAAGTAAGCATATACTCCGTCAAGAAGTTGACATCCATAAACACTCTTCCTTAATATAGATATCACATCTACAAATTAGTTTTCTTGTACATGTATTCCATGATTTTATCAAACATGTTGAGTACTGAAAAGTAAAAAATTATTATATTGTTTCTTAATTTTTCAGATCAATTGATGTCAAGTATGCTTATGAAACCCCTGATTTCCCAGTTACCAAGCATCCTGTGCTGTTAGTTGCCATGGTGATATGTACAGTGGCAGCCATGTTGTTCAAGGAACATGGTGTGACGGTGATTGGTGTGTGTGGCATGCTAGATGTCGCCATCTTCTGCAGGAAAGGAATCATCAGGTTAGATAACAAGGAATATGTTATGAACACACAATGCCATTTAGAAAGTGGTCAAATGTAACAAATGTTATATTTGGGGATAACATTTCTTAGTAAAGTACAGAATTCTAGTACTTTTTTGGGTTGAGTCCCATCTGGGATTCAAACCCACACTGCCAGAGTGAGGCACCTAATCGCCAGCACACATTTACACTTGTCAGAGGGGTACACAAAATATGTGATCTGGACTACCAGTTGTCGGACTTTCAATTTGTGGAAGCCTTTGTGGCTGAGTGGGATAGATCGCTGACTTTGTGTGCTGGTGATTAGGTGCCTCTCTCTGGGAATGTGGGTTAGAATCCCGGATGGGACTCAACCCCAAAAAGTACTATAAACTGTACTGTACTCAGAAAGTGTTATCCCAAATATATCATTTGTTACAAGGAATATGTTGCATATAATAAAGACTGTGTAGAACCGTGTCACGCCTAATGCTGAAATTCCCCTGTGTGGTTGAAACAGTGAAGGAATAATATCACGCATGTATCACACTTCTATTACTTTGTAACAAAATTTTGTTCTCTTTATGTGCAACAATATTCAACTTTGTTGGCCTGACATTCATATGTTGGAAACCTGTGTGTTGGTAAAGAGTTTCATCACTTCAAGCTTTCCTGCCACATCAAACAGACACTCTGTGATACAACTGAAATACTGTTCAAAGCAGCATTAAACCCACCTCACTCACTCACTCACTCACTCACTCACTCACTCACTCACTCCAAACATTGTTGTTGGTAGTTAAGAGATGCTGAAAATGACTAAAGCAGAAAGCATTTTTTGATACAGAGCCAGAGTTATTGTGAACTTAAGTAAAATAATGTTGGAAACCGAAACTTTCAATTCTATATTTTTACAGTGATGGTCAAGTCCACTCAGAACTGCTCCACTTGTGATAGGGATATTTGGGATTTAAATATATCTGGCGTGTGTACAACTTAACATATGGTTATAGACCCGTGAAGATCCAGGGTCGAATGGGTCTTCAGCAACCCATGCTTGCCTTAAAAGGCTACTATGCTTGTCGTAAAAGGCGACTATTGGGGTCAGGTGGTCAGGCTCTCTGACTTGGTTGATGCATGTCATCGATCCCACTTGTGTGGATCGATGCTCATGATATCAATCACTGGATTGTCTGGTCCAGACTCGATTATTTACAGACCGCCGTCATATAGCTGGACTATTGCTGAGTGCAGCATAAACCAACCAACCAACCAACCAACCAACATATAGTTATAGTGCATGATGTATTTTCAGGGTACTGAGTGAGAGGAGTGAAGCAGCGCTGATGAGGATGAGTCCCCTGATGGTCAGGTGCCTGGTGCTTACGTCCACTGTAAGTACCGATACAGTGGCACCATCTTCAACATTGAGGAAATACGTGTTGATCATGTTCTGTTTAAAAGTTTATAGATCCCACTGAGTGTGTTGAAAGGCAATATAGAATTTATTAGCCTCTTTGCTCAACACTGATGACATGGATTAGCCAACTGGTTGGTGTGTTTGCTGGTTGCATTGAAATTTTGGGTTTCATTCCCCTCATGGTTTCTTTTTGTGACGCCATTTATTCATGCCTGTGCAGTGTTAGGACAGCAAAGTAGGGTATTACTTGTTCACGGTCACTGATGTTTGCTCTTTTATTTCAGTTTCTCTGCCTCCTGATATTCCGAATCTGGATCATGGCAGGAGAACTTCCGGAATTCCTGGAGCAAGACAACCCAGCATCCTTCTCTGACTCCCTCACCACTCGGTGGGTGTACTAGCTGGCTTCAGGATTAGCTGAATATTTGGCATATGTCTTTAAAATAAACCATGAATACTTTGCTACCACACACAAGCTCAGTTTTCACTTTTGTTGAAACTTGGTATGGTGAAGCTAAAATTCATATTAAGTATTTAATGTTCTATATACTGTATCTGCCATATATTCTCTTGGTTCAAGTTCATCTCAAGGAGATAGTGTTGTAGTCTTACTTCCTGTTATGTACATGCGTGTCTTTATACTACTGGTTTGAGGTCCTGTACCCTGTTGGCTGTGTGTTCTAGAGTTCTGACCTACAACTACCTGTTTGCCTTCAACTCCTGGCTTCTGTTGGCACCGGTCACCCTGTGTTATGACTGGACACTTGGCAGTATCCCATTGGTGGAGTCAGTTGCAGACCCTCGTAACTTAGCAACTCTGGTGCTGTTTGCTACATTCATCATGATTGGCTACAAGTGCTTCCAAGACTTCAAATCTCAGGTATGTTTGATATCAGATATCTAATTAAAGGTGATAATGTTAGATATTTTCTCTCCTGATGCTGGATATACAAGGGCGGATCCAGCATTTTTAAAAGGGAGGAGTCCAAAATATCAAAATCCTCTCCTAGATAAGTGTACAAGTCCCTGGACCACCTCGCTGGATCCACCTATGACATATATGTATATGACAAGACGTGATATTAAATATACCTACACAGGGCAGGTTTATAATGCCAAATATAATCCCCTGCAGGATGACAGTTACTGATATGGCATGACAGGGTGATAACAGCAGATATTCCCCCTGCAGGATGACAGTTCTTGATATGGCATGACAGGGTGATAACAGCAGATATTCCCCCTGCAGGATGACAGTTCTTGATATGACATGACAGGGTGATGAAAGCAGATATTCCCCCTGCAGGATGACAGTTCTTGATATGGCATGACAGGGTGATAACAGCAGATATTCCCCCTGCAGGATGACAGTTCTTGATATGACATGACAGGGTGATAACAGCAGATATTCCCCCTGCAGGATGACAGTTCTTGATATGACATGACAGGGTGATGAAAGCAGATATTCCCCCTGCAGGATGACAGTTCTTGATATGGCATGACAGGGTGATAACAGCAGATATTCCCCCTGCAGGATGACAGTTCTTGATATGACATGACAGGGTGATGAAAGCAGATATTCCCCCTGCAGGATGACAGTTCTTGATATGGCATGACAGGGTGATAACAGCAGATATTCCCCCTGCAGGACGACAGTTCTTGATATGACATGACAGGGTGATAACAGCAGATATTCCCCCTGCAGGATGACAGTTATTGATATGGCATGACAGGGTGATAATAGCAGATATTCCCCCTTGCAGGATGACAGTTATTGATATCATGTGACAGGGTGATAATAGCTGATATTCCCCCTGCAGGATGACAGTTCTTGATATGACATGACAGCATGATAATAGCAGATATTCCCCCTGCAGGATGACAGTTATTGATATGGCATGACAGGGTGATAATAGCAGATATTCCCCCTTGCAGGATGACAGTTATTGATATCATGTGACAGGGTGATAATAGCTGATATTCCCCCTGCAGGATGACAGTTCTTGATATGACATGACAGCATGATAATAGCAGATATTCCCCCTGCAGGATGACAGTTCTCCCAGTGTGACGCTCCTGGCGTTGGTGCTCCTGGTGATGCCCTTCCTGCCAGCATCCAATCTCTTCTTCCGTGTGGGTTTTGTAGTCGCAGAAAGAATCCTGTATCTACCAAGGTGAGATAATTCTTCATCATTATGAAGTGTAGTCATATTACTTACACATTTTACTCAATTATGTCATATAGCCATTGTGATATATCCTCTCCCTATACACCATAGTGTGTTCACATCAAATTCCAAATAGTTTCAATTCTAAATTGAACTTATGTTTGAACAGTCTATGGAAATAATCATACATATATGCAAATATTTTTTTTAGACTGTTTCAAATGTAGAAAACTCACAATACCCTTTAAATGAATTTTGATGAAATTGACTTGAAAATATACTTTTGAACATTTACACAAAAAAGCATTTTGTACCTGCAGTGCCAAGCATTGGTAGCTTCAAGAGTGTAACTACCGGTATATATGATTCTAACTACTGAGGACCAGACAGGAAGTTAGCTGGTACTGTTGGCTGTCAGAGGTGTTTGTTGAAGCGTAGGCGATATGACTGTCATAGCACCTAGGTTGTAATGGTTATCAGGCTCTGTATGCAAAAGGCCTGTGATATTGTTTTATAACATGGGCATCTAATACCGCTGTCACAGCATGTATCCTGCCAACAACAATAACTACAAAACGATCACCCATCATGATTTGTACCGTTTTCAACAAGCTCTACAGCAGTAATTTGGGAATGAATTCACAGTGAATCCTTTCATTCTTGACCTGATTGTTTTGGGGTTATAAATCGTGTTTGGACCATTATAGTGTGTTGCCCTGGTTTGAGGCTGTCTTGAGAGAACTATAATGTCGTATATAGCCGACTGATGACTTTCTCTATGAACTTACTCTTCAGGCCACACATTTTTTTATTTCTTTTCCACGGGCTCGCCGCCCCACCCCCTACTGAAAAGCAACTGGAAAAGTGATAAATAAAATAAAAAAGTATTTATTTTTATTATGTCTCTCGCTAGAAATATAGTCCCTCTTATACAATAAAAAAATGTTATGTATAAATTCCATGTCTACATCACCATCAGTAATTCAAGAGGCTGCCTGCAGTTTTAACTCCACGGCAGAATGACTTTCATATGAATGAATGAATGAATGAATGAATGAATGAATGAATGAATGAATGAATGAATGAATGAATGAATGAATGAATGAATGAATGAATGAATGAATGAATGAATGAATGAATGAATGAATGACAAGGAATAAATCTGTGAAACATAACATTAAGAATGTGTGGCCTCGTGGGGTTATAGGTATGCAATGTAAACTCTTTCTTTTGAGATGTCAGACTTCAAGCTGTGGCATTGTAACACTGTTCATCGTAATTGCCATATTGTCTCAGTGCCTGTTGTCTGATATAAGATGTATTACCCTTCATAACAGAGACCAAGATCCTGCAGTGTTAATAGCTGTATTACAACATGATCTTTACAACTCCGAAACAATTTACTCCAAATACAAATTAAGAAAATCTGACAATGATTAATACTTATGCACAAACTTGTAAGATCCACTGAATGAAGAAGATGTAGAGTGGTGTAGGGTTGGGGATACAGGTAAACCCCAGGGGACAAGGTCACTGAATGATCCACGTCAGTTCATCATGTAACATACATGTACTACAAAGATCCTACTGTTAAGAATACCCCATAGGGGGTTTATTGGGGGCGAAGGTACTCCTCCTTTTTCCGTCATGCTCAGGTAACTATAATTTATTATCGAAGATGAAAGCGTTATCTATGCTGAATTAACCAGCATTCATACTCTGTAAAGGTAACCCAGTGTCAGACTATCTTTCCTCCACAACCAGTGTGACACCTGTCAAGTCTCCTGGTTATAAAACACTATATTGACCGTGATAACGGGTAGATAACACATGCATGTCTTTTGGGATGTTTTTTACCACCTGGTTTCATATCATCGATTGTAACTCGTACATTCCATGAACAATGGCTGCCTCTAACTACATGCTTATTTCATTAAAAAAATTACGCGTTGAAGTTGCTCCAGTTTAATATTAATCTGTTTCTAACAAACTCTTTTTGAGGGCGTGATTCTCTTATTTTTTTACCTGTTACTGAAAACTCACATATTAGCTATGTTAAGGATTTATGGTAGTACCATGTACCGTATTTAGTGTATTAAGGGCCCTGCAGCAATAAGCACCCCCTGACTCAATTCTAGACCAATTTGAAAGGAATCTTTATAAGCACCTCCTACATGACAGTCCATATTTTTTTGTGTGTATTTTCATCGTTGACAGCTTTTTATTTAGTCTAAATATATGTATCATAAATGTATAACTTCTCGGCACGATGTGGCTGAAATACTGCCGATGTGACGTTAAAAAATAACCCACTCACTCTTGTGTGTATTACAGAAAACAGCCGTGTAGAAGGGGTATACAATTTTAATGTAACTATTATCGAAAACATTGTGTCAACATTTGACCAATGTTTGTTCACTTCCTCTCGATCACTGAAAACAAATTTAACTTGTGTCTGGTTTTAATAAACACCACCTTTGCCAATTTTCTCAGTGCCCAGGATGCTTATCATGGTAAATACAGTATGACTTTCCTTCATGGTATTTTCTGCATAAATTCCCATTCTTGACGTTGTAACACTGATCTTAACACCCAGTTATGCATTTCGAGCTATTGCCATCTCATCTGGCCCAAAGACATTGACGGTTTGTTCAAGGCAGCATCAGCAACAATCAGAATGGCAATCAAATTGTGCTGAAGTCAATGTACTGGAAGGATCGAGCAGGAACATGGAGACATTGTTGCGATTTTCTTTTTTAAGTTCGACTTCTTCTGAAGAACCATTTACCGGAAGTAAATATATTGTTTTAACCTGTAGGGGATGATGTTTTTTAGATTTAAAAACAAATACAAATTTTCAGTCATCTTCTCAGACACAAGACCCATGTAGCTGAAGGTTTGTGATACAAGGCTAAAGGGTTAATGTCTTTGAATACCGTATTCGACGTACTAAGCGACCAGGGCGGTCTCAAAATTAGAAATAAGGGGCTCTTATCAGAATATTATTTTGGTAAATGGTGAACGTAAATTTTGTGGTCTATGCTGATACCCTGAAATATGACAGATATATTTTTCCAGAATTTAATTGCCCTTAATTAAGGGTACCTATAACCCACGAGTGTGTAGAGTGTGTATAATACACGAGTTAATAAGTCTTGTGTACATTGGTCAATTGGAAAGGGTGATTATTGGGATTGTTCACCAGCCAATATATTAGCAAATATCGCCGTGGGGGCTTATTAGAGCGGGACGCTTATTACGTTGAATACGGTAGTTGAACTGTAGCGATAAGCGGACTCATTCAAGGGACTCAATACCGATAAAGGTCTCTGCTAAGCCTATGCATTAATGACCACAATGCGTATACCTGTACAAATGTATACCTGTGTAACAAATGTTATATTTGGGAAAACACTTTCTTAGTAAAGAACTGGTACTTTCTAGTACTTTTTTGTTTTGAGTCCCATCCGGACTACCAGTTGTCAGACTTTCATTTTTGTGGAAGCCTTGGTGGCTGAGTGGGTTAGATCACTGACTTTGTGTGCGGGCGATTAGGTGCCTCACTCTGGCGGTGTGGGTTCGAATCCCGGATGGGACTCAACCCCCAAAAGTACGAGAATCTGTACTTTACTAAGAAAGTGTTATCTGAAATATATCATTTGTTTAATGTATACCTGCTTGTGTAGGCTATGTAACCCTTGCGTCTGTATTGGAATCTTGCAAGCAACATGTTGATGTTGTAATGGACCCCTGTGGCGTGACTCTCCAGGCAAGGATGAAACACCCTTTAATACCTACTCTCACTTTCCATCACAAATGCTTTTCAGGTTATACCATATGATTACTTTTGACTTACACTTGAATGAGACGTGCTTGACTTCTTGTTAAATGAGTCCTTATTTTGTACTGAATATAATCCACAAAAACTGCTTTTGTGTAGCCAACACATGACATCCTTGTAGGTTTGCCAGCAGAGCTGAATTGGTAAATGTAAGATAACAAGTCGTGTTATTGGTCTCCTTGTCATACACAATTAGTGGTTAGTGAAGCAGTATCTATTCGAGGGACATGTGACTGTCTGTTGTATAGCTCTTGTCAATCTCACAATGTACCATATACCTGGCACAGATCTACCACTTTCCAACCCTCACCTCAGGTCTGACTTAAGGCTAATCACCTGACATTTATTATTCCCAAAGTAATAAACCGGAATAAAAATGAATGAAAAAATACCAGGATATCTTTATTGAATCAGCACATAAATTGAAATTACGAAATCAGCTGATGTGTTAGAGATGTTATTCAGGTGGAAAATCTTACAGCAGGTACTTCAGCTAAATAAATTCTAAAAGAAATTCTGTTTTCTATGATAATAGCGTTATCTGATTTGTAAATTATGTGGGTAGATAATCCCTGTATTCAATACAGGAAGCAGAGTGTCCCCGTCCGCAAGTATCCAGGCACAGAGCAGTGTTTACCCTGCAGCATGGTCTACAAAGTGATCGCATACTGATCCCTCCATCAAATGCCCATATCTGTAAATTCGGCTTTGTCATCGAGGAATTTCCCATGGCTGCAGTAAATTGTTGTCAGCTGTAATTTTGGGACAATACAGCATGGTTCATTGAACAAGATAACTCATGTACATAGCTATTACCTATGATATAACCTAATGCAGGTACATGGAGATTACGACCGCCTCCGTGGTCTAGTGGTAGAGCATCCGACCGGAGAGTGGAAGGTCAGAGGTTAGACATTAATAGATGGTACTTGTTGTTACCCTGCCTGGAGCTCAGCATTAAGGGGCTAAAACAAGGACTGGTCGGCTCGGAGTCAGTATACTGTGTCTGAGTGGGGTATTCATGTTAAAGTGCAGCATGGTATCTCAGTGTGCTTGCACTATGAATCGGCATTAGTCCGGACTTGTACAAGCAGCCACACATACACGTGCATGCATGTCGCTTTATAAGTGCAATAATCTTGGACACGATGTTAAAACCCATCTC